AGAAGAAGCTAGAGCCGGGATGGGGCCATTAATGAGCTCGAAACACTCGAGAGGCTGCAGTGGATTGATTGATTGACGGATTGATTGCCTGGGCAGACGGCAGGGAGAGCCATTCATTAGCATAAATTACCCGCAGAAACCAATACTGCAGGCTTTAAATGCTCTTTGATTAGGAATTTTCCGGATTTGGAATTAAGGTGACTCTATTTATTATTTTATAATATTTTATTCTGCATTTAAGCTGCCTCTTTATATTATTTTTAATATTTTATACCACAAGTTTCTCATATCCTGGCTTACAACTGGCGGCAAACAAAGCTGGCAATGAGCTTACTGCAAATACAAAGTGATTCTGAATGATTCTGGCAAAAGGAAGACCCCACTATTTAGATTCCTTGTTAGCCAGAATCCTGTTAGCCTGCTTTTCTGCTATCCTGTTGCACTTGGACCACTTTGATTGATGGCACCGGCACTCGAGTGCACACGATAATCATTTATAAGGCGCATAACTGGGCTCGTGCCTGGGTGCTTTGGCCCGTCTGATACAACTAGCATAAAGCAACCACCGCCCGCGGCAGATGGCGTCGTCGCGTCCTGGGTAAAAGGACCAAGCAGGACCAGGCCAAAGACCAGAGAGAGAGACGAATATCAGATTCAGATTCAAATTCAACTTCACTTGGCAGATACGCCGAGGTCGTTGGTATTATGGTTGGACTCCTTGGGGGGAATGGAGCCTTCGGTTTTCGGTCTCCGGTCTCGTCATGTCAGCTGCAGGAGTCTAAGATACACTCGGAGAAATTTTTAGCCACAAATATAACATAACCAGAAAATACTTGAAATATAAACCCATTAAACCTTAACAAATTCTTAGCTATATTTCCCAAAAAACCTGCATTTTCCGTTTGTATCTCAAAGATACTCCTTTTTTATTCCAAGTGCCTTGCATGAAATTTGCATTCAAATCGAGCCCTGGCAAGTGCGTGTATCTGACAGATTCCCAGCTGGCTGACAAGTATTTTGCACACTTCTTTGTCGCTTCGCTTTTTCCCTACCTCTTGACTCCCTCCCTTTGGATGAGAAATGAGACTTTCCCAGCTGCTCTCGCCTGACTTTCCCCCTCAGACTCTCCTCAAAGTGTGCGATTAATTATCTCCCTGCTCCTCAAACGGTTACTCCAACTTCCGACTAATTGGCCAAGTCAGTAGCAAGTTTGTCATCATTTGGGGGGGGAGGGGAATCTCAGGGGAATCTCAGGGGAAGACAGCCGGGAGCACCAACATATGGCCCTGTTCCGGATTTTTCAATTGTTTGATTTACTTAAGACTTGTTAGGTTTTTATTAACAATTTAATTCTGATTTTTAAGCTTTTTCTTGTTTAATTAATTAGTTTAAAAATGTAAGAATTCATTTAAAAATTTAAGAATTACAAATTTAAGAATTCATTTTAAAACAAATAAATTAATTTAAAAATTAAAGATATCAATTTTTGACAGTTTTTACCTCTTAAAAATTTTGAAAAAAATGAATAAGATTTTTTTGGAAAAATAAGATTATAAAAAAAATCATAGCTCTGTCAAAAAATCTTTAATTTTAATTCGGAAAACGGTTTTAGGTTACTTTTTAATAGCTTAACAAACCTGCATACTTAATTTAACCTTTAAAAAAATTTCAAATTTTGTTGAAATTTCAAGAATTTTAATGATGTAACCCCTTATAAAATTTTAAAAAAATTTTGTAAATTTTTTTCCCTCCAAAATGTCTAGAAAGAGTCGTTTGTTGATGCTGATCAAGAATATATATGATTTATAGGGTCGGAAATGCCTGCTTCAATGCCTAACTAAAATAATACCCTTCAAAAGAGTCCCTAAAAAGTGTTGAATTTATTTACTATACATCATAAATCATAAACCATAAATTACAATAAATACAAGCACTCAATATATATATAAAATGAATATTAATAATTATTTCATAACACTTTAATTGCTGTTGGAGGCCTGGTCCCCCCATTATCCTGGCTAAACAAAACTTCCAATAAAAATCACGCTGATGCTGCAGCTGCCAATTACGGCGACTGCTTTTCTAATTAGATGCACACAGCACACACACACACTCATAACCAGGGGAAAAGCGGGGAAAACGAGGCATAAACTCAGTCCTAAGCCTGAGGTCTATGGAAAAATCTACATTCAATATCAGAAGAAACCCCTCGAAACTACACTTTAAAATTAAAGTTTTTCCAAAAATTATATGTTTCAGTTTTCAACTTGATTTCCTCTCTATTTTCCTTTGTTAATTACTGCCAATCAGTGGAAAAAATCCATACATAATCAACAAGAAATTATTTGCCAGCAGCAGCAGCTCCCTTGAGTGCAAAAATCGCTCATTGCGAGTTTTCTTTGGCTTTTCTCCGCCTCGATTGCGTTGCGTTGCGATTCGCTGTTTATCGATGAGGTCAAATCTCGTGGCAATATGAGAATGTTTATTTTTAGAAATCGTGTAAACAGCTCTTGCCCTGGAAGTGCCTCCGCACATTGTTTGCCCGACTGATTGCTACCCTCGATGACTTCTTCTTTGTTCCGGCTTATCGAGCAGAGCGTATTTCCCCGAGTGCAATAGAAGGTCTAGGGCTGTGGATTAGCTCTTACACTTGTCATTTCCGGTCCATAGATGATGCTGCTTCGCCTTGTGTGTCCATTTCCGCCGCATGGAAAATCTCTATCGCAGTCCGGAAAAATCTCTATCGCAGTCCGGAAAATCTCTGAATCGCCTGCCTTAAAAATCTTGCATATGCCATTCCATAAGCGAATGGAATCTGTATCTGTTACTATGAATCTGCAACTGAGTCTCAGTGTCAGTGGGGGGTGATTGTGTAAGTGACCTTGGTTGTGGGAGGTGGGAGGGGTTTGGGGTCCACCCAGAGCTCCATTCGGCAAATGAACCATCTTGCCTGAATATGAGTCAATTAATATAACTCAATTTGACGTCGTGTCGGAATGTTTTGTCTTTTGCTCTAAGCGAGCAGAGGGGTAGTTGCGAATTGACAAGGGGGTTGGTTTTAAATATATAATATTTTTCGGTGATTAATAGAAATATAATAGTAAATATATAAAAAAAATAAATGTATAATAATAATAAATATATAATAACTCTAATAATATAAAAACTCTAATAAATAAAAAATATAAATATATAATAAAAATAAGTTTACATACCATCAAATATTGATATTTTCCTCCTTAAGAAATTTATTTTAATATTTTTCTGAAATGAAATAAAACTAAATACCATTTAAAAATGTATTTTAATATATTTTAGAGATACTTTCTGAAAAGAAATAATATCAAATACCATTTAAAAAATGTCTTTTAATATTTTTCTGCTATGAAATGATATCAAATACCCTTTAAAATATTATTAAATATTTTTAAAAAATACTTTCCAATATAATTTGATATCAAATCCAATCCAATTCAATATCCAAAACCCCTTTAAAGTTCCTAAAAAAAAAACTACTTAAAGAAGGGCATTCAAAGTTCACCTTTTGCCCCTCCAAATCCCAAATTGTTTGCGACTGTTTGTGAGTTAGTTTGTTTGTCAGTTTGGCCTGACGTGCGATGTGCCATGTGAATCACGCTGAAATTGCATTTGATTTGGAGGCTCGCATTTGCATTTCGAATTCAGTTTCGGTTTCGGGCGACGATTTATGTGCTTACTTACTCACAGCATTAGCCCCGATGCGATAACAATAGAGATAAACGGCGTTGATAACGGTTCAGTTCCGAAATCGAGTGGCCTGCGGTGGACTAGATTTATCAGTTGAAACCGGGAATTGAAAAGAGTGCAACATAACAATGCCACCAGCATTATGGAGCATTAATACTACAAAGATGGAAACATGAAGGCACCGTGGTTAAAGACACACTGGAGATGATGGTATTTCTGCACCTTTGCTCACCTTTCATAATAGATATATATATATTGTATCTCCAAGGGCCTCTGAGTCATATTGCATGTCACAACCCCCAAACGAGAGTTAGAGCAAGAAAAAAAGGTAACAAGGAAAAGTCACTCTCGCACCAACACGAGCCACATTCAAATTAACTTAATTAAGGCAACAGACAGGTGATGTCTGCAGGTATTTGACGTAAAACTAGGGGTTGTTTTAAATATGTTTAAGATTATAATATAAAAATATAGAATAATATATATAAAAATATATTAAAAATATATTAAAATGTATAAAAATATATTAAAAAATATTAAAAATAAATAAAAATATATTAAAAATATATAGGTATGTACATATATACCTTAGAATTTATTTAATAAATTTAGAATATATTTCTAAATCTAGCAATTATGGCATTTATTTATTATACATTATAAAATATTTAATAAAATTAACATAATTATTCCGTTTAAAAATATGCTTTTAAATAACCATATTTAGTTTTCAATTCAAAAGTGAAAAATCTGATAACAAATGACCCATGACTGGCCCCAATTTTGTGGCTGGCGTAATTTAACTCATTTCACATCCACATATGGCCCCACTGTGCCATGTGTTAAGGCGCTCTCTCTCTCTCGTTCTCTCGCCAGCACCCGCTCTCTGCCGCGCTCTCTCCCAAGGGGGCGGCCTGGGGCTAAGCACAGTGGGGTAAGGCAGGTCAAAAAGTGGAACTAATTTTACGCTAAATAAATTTAAAAAAAAATTAAGAAAATTTCTAAGATTTGGAATTATGGATGATAAAATATAATAGAATTTTTTTAAACAAACAAAAGCTAATAAATTACTATATATATATATATATATCAGTGTTTTTAAAACGAAAAACTAATTCACTTTTATGTTACTAATATTTTTGAATAATTTTTTTAATTAATATTAATCATCATTAAAAAGTTTAATAATAAACCAATTTATTTCTCACTTCTTAATAAAAAAAAATCCCCTCTAAAACTGAGTTCCCTCCCACTGTGCGGCCATAGTTGTTGCTGGCCATCGAGTGTGACGCAGCGATGATGATGGGAGCGTTCTGAGTGGCCGCCAGTTTTTTGCCTCAGTGTCGTTCTGTGCGTGCTGGCGAGCGAGCGCAATGTGAGATTGGGTCAGCGGCTGTCCGTTTTTGCCTGGTTACCTTCTTACCGCCGGACACCCCCCCGAACCCAAACAGTCAGCTGTTTGCACCTGTAGAGCTGCGGCCACACCTGAGCAAGCCAAGATGTCGGGCACCCAGGACCTCGATCGCAAGTATCTGCGCAGCATGCCGGGCCTCTGCAAGCTGGCCTGCCTGGTGAGTGTCTTTCTGATTATTCTTGCTTTGCATTTTCACATTTTCTATATTTTTTACCGGCCACAGCTCTGCAGCTTCATTGGATTCCTGTGCATTGTATGCGGGCCGGTGCGCGTGAGCAACTTCCGCGGCAGCTTCTACTTGGCGGTGGTGTCTCTGGGATTCGTGGCCACCGCCGGCCTGCTGCTGGCCCGGCTCCTGCGTCTCTGGCAGCGCCAGTTTTGCCGCTGCGATCCGACGCTCTGGTCGCTGGCAGTGCATGCCTCACTGGCATTGGCCTACTTCACGGCCTCCGGCCTCGTCCTGTCCCTGGACATTGGAGCCTACACGGCCGCGGCGGTGAGTCATGGGTGGCCTTTGCTAGGGAATGGGTTCTAGGCCTTAGGCATTCCACGTAGTCGGGATTTATGGTATTACCTTCTTGGGGGGATCAATTGTTGAGCAGGGAGATTTATATTGACATTTGAGGCATTTGTTTGGTGAGGTATTTGTTTGGCAAACTCTATTTAGATATATTCTAGAATATTTTTCGGAATTATTGGTTACCAAAAGGGTTTCCTCTTTATTTATTATATATTTTTTTATTTTTTAAAAGCAAAAAGCCTTTTTTAGATATTTTATATAGTCATATTTAAGACCTTTATTCGCTGCTTATTGCTTACAAAATTAATAAACTTAAGAAAATCCATAAATTAGGGTTTAAACACTAAAATTTATATTGGGAACAAGCACTGCAGGGCTTATTTTATAACTTTGTGTTTTAATAAGTATAAAATATATTTTTAAATATATATATATATATATATTTTCTGATTTAAATTTAAATGATTTATTAAATAGATATAAAAAAATATCATAATATATAATTAATAACTACAAAATACTTTTTTACACTCCCATAATAATTTAAATATTTTCAATTACTTATTTACTTAATAAGTAAAAAATATTTTAAAAAAATATCCAATTAAATATTTTATAAATACCAAACATTTCTCTGTGCACTCCTCATAATAATTAAAATATTTTCAACAAATGTCATCTCTATGCTAAAATATTTATTACTCATTTAAACCATTGCAAAATGATTTTATCTTAACAAATATTTTTGTAGCTGACACACTAAACTTTGAACAGAAGCGACATTTATTATTAATCAAATACATTCCCGCCTGTATTTGTCACATTAAAAGTTGCCAAAATTGAACAAATTTCACACATAAAATGTGCCAAAAAAGGGAGCTCATAAATCTATAGATGCATTTATGAATAAATATACTATATTCAGTGAGGTTTATTATTAAAAGGGGCTTGTAGACTTCAAACGTTTGATAAATATTTAGCTTAGATTGTTTAATTTCGATGGAGAACAACAATTTGAGACTTGTGCTGATGTTTATTGAGCTCAAGTTACGAATTTGCTGCTTACCAGGCTCTGGGGAGTAGGATTCTAGCTAATTCTTTCCGCTCTGAACCTCTTAGATTCCCTCAAATTCCCTCAAATTCCCTCAAATCCCCTCTAATTCTCATTTCTCTTCTCTCTTCTTGGCAGTTCTTTGGGCTGACTGCCTTCAGCATCAATGGCCTGGAGGCCTATGGTAACTACAGACGCAGCCGCCAGCGGGATGTGGCCACCCAGACGATATAGATGCCGATTTTGGCTGCCAGATTTAACCACAGATCGCAGCTTTAAAGCAAAACTAAGTGACTACAAGCAGCTCTCTCAGTATACCAGAGAGAGCGAGAGTAGCTGAGAGAATGCTGGTATCTGAGAGAACGCTGGTATCTGCCAGAACGAGTATCTAAGTATCTGGGAGTTCAATTAACTGAGAGAGAGAGAGAGAGAGTGCTGTTCGTTGGCGTAAATATCAAAGTCTGAAAATGGGAAAATGCATAAATGTGGAAAAGCCTTTCGTTGCTGGACAGTTATGGGATGTATTATCTAATAGTCGCTAGATATAGGTCAAGAAGTGAAGGAGCTACACAGCTGGCAGAGAGCACTGAGAGCAGAGAGAGCAGAGAGAGAGAGAGTAAATGCCAAAGAGATAATTCCCATTGTATTCGGCCTCCATCTCCTCTCCCCCCCGATAACTGGTTAACAAAGCGTGAACACAAACATATATATAGTATAGATATACATCTTTTTTTTTTACTTTGGTTAAGTAACTTTGTAGCTTTAGCTATTTGTCACAAGAAAACTGCGTATTTTCGGCAAGATTTAATTTATCTAATAATTTAGTTTGTACATTGTTAAGTTTATAAATAAAAACACACAAGGTAGTTTTTTTTATATATTTCAAATAAATCGAAAAGATATACAAATGTATGTTTTATGCTTTGTTGGTGGGGGAAGTTTCAGAGACACAAATAAGCTTAATTAATTCGGAACCCTATAAAAATATCTCTAACGCTTTCATTATTTAACTTAAAATCCTGATAGTTTTTATCCTCAAGAAAAATATAACCAGAAAACCCCTTTTGTTTATTATTATTATCAAACAATTTGGCTTAAGCTCTGGGCAATAGTTGCAAACACAAATCTGGCCTGGCATCAACCTCGGAGAGACAGAGCTAACCCTTCCGGCTTCCCTGGGAGATATGGGCACTTTATACTATCCCCTCCTCACCCACCCTTCTCTCACCTTTGTCCGCCTTAAAATTGTGTATAAACAGGCATCCTGGGGAGCATAGGAAAGGCTCCCTTATCTGGTCTCTGTGCTCCCCTGTGTGTTTGTGTTACTGTTTTGGTTTGTAAGCTGTGTTGCCATTGTTGGCTTTTCAAATCTTTTCAACCCACCACCACCCACCACCCACTCACCTTGGGGTTTTTCTCTCACCTTCGACACGGACGGCCTTTTGTTGGTATTTTCTGTGCCAGGCGCCTCATTATTATTACTTTTGTTGCCAGTTTTGATGAAGTTTTCGCCCCGATTCTTGTCTATTTCTGGCACGATTTATTCATACTTTGTTGTCTGTGTGTGTGTGTGTATGTGTTTCCAGGTGTGTGTAAGCAAATTTTCAGCTTTTCCGCCAAGTACATTAAGCGGTGTAATGAAGGGCGCAATATATTCATGGATTTTATGCCCAGGAAACCTGCAAAAGAGAACATAAAAAAAATATTATATTAAAAAATATGAAGATAATGTTGAAAAAATATTATTACAAATTTTAGAAAATTATAGAAACTTAATATTTTATATTTCTAATATTATTTTTATATATTTCCTTCGAATAACTTAATTTAGAGAAGTTTTTCCAGGGAAAAGCAATTATTACCAACGACTTTACGTAGGAGAGTGTACTTGTTACATTATTATTTTTTTCTTTTTTGTACTCGTCCCTTTTGCTAAATGGCCGTTTAATTATTTCTGTGCTGGCAGGCTCTTAGCACTTTTACCCATACATAATGTGCCATAATTGTGCCCCCCTTTCGGCCAAGGTCCTTGGCCAGGCAGGTCACGTAAAGTGAAATTAATTAGTCTTGTTTGCCAGTTAGTCCCCAGCTCGGCGCTCTCCTTCGATCCTTGAGTGATTGAAATGCAATCGTGTGGACCAGGTCCTTATTGAATTTTTCTAAACATTTTCTGGACATTTTCTCAACATTTTTCCTGAACATTTTCCTTTTCGCTCAACTGGACTTCCTGCCAGCAAATGATTTATGTCAGCCGCGGCAGCTGTTGGAAAATGCCAAAAAAAAAAACATGACAAATTTTAAAGAAAACTCCCTAATAAGCTGCTTCACAGTTCAAGGGGGAAAATGGGAATATGGCAAATGGAAAATGTGAAATGAAAATGAAAAAATGCAAAGCCTAAAGAAATAAGAAATTTCCATGGCAAACCAATCATAACTTTTTCCCCGGGCCTCTCTAATTAGCTGTCGACAGATCTGCGATAAAACATCAATGAATAAAGTCCTCAAAGGCCATAATAGCCAACGGGGGCACCCGGTTCTGTGTCCGATTCGGCGGGGGCCAGATGATAGCTTTTAGCCCGAATATAATTTGCAATTAAGTGGGGGAGTGCCTGTGCCAGTGACTGTGCCTGGCTTTCCTGGAGCGGAGGGTATGCGCCGAGCGAAAAGGTGGCCCATCCTTAATTAATGAAATCATTTTCAAATCAAACGCGCATTTAATCAAAGTCAGGCCGCAGTTAGTCGTGCAATTTATCTGGCTTGCTGCAGGCACTGAGAGAAAAATTTCAAAAATAAACGGGTAACATTGTTTTTTGGGACAAATAAAATTCTAAAAAAATAAAATCTAATTTAAAAAAAAAATCTGCATTATTTTATTGAACGTCAAAGATCACTTAAAATATGAGAACATTTTTAAAATTTAAAAAAAGGGAAAAATTTTTTTTTTTTTTGGACAAACTAAATTCTAAAAAAATCATTACTCTGCCCAACAGAATGTTTTTTTAATTTTAAATATTTAAAAACAAATCTGGATACTTAATTTAATACCAAAAATCAATTGCAATTTGAGAAACATTTTCCAAAAATAAAACAAAAATGGGTATCATTTTTTTTTTTGGGACAAATAAAATTCTAAAAAAATCATAACTCGGCCAAAAAAAAAGAATTTAAAATATATAGAAAATAATTATGGATAAATCTAATGAAATATCACGGAAAAGGTCTTTGGGAAATACATTTTTATACCCTTGCAGGGTATTATAATTTCAGTCAGAAGTTTGCAACGCAGTGAAAAAAATCAGATTTTATAATACAAAATAATATTTTTTTAAGTGAAGGAGTCATTTCCGACCCCATAAACCATATATATTCTTGATCAGCATTAAAATGCGAATCGTTTAAGCCATGTTTGAGGGAAATCAAATTTTGAGCCATTTTTGCGGAATGTGATAAGGGGTTACATCATTAAAATTTGCAAAAATGGCGAAAAATTTTGATTTCTTAAAATTTTAAATTTGGTATGCAGTTTTTTTAAATTAATAAAAACTAACACAAAACTGCTTTCCGAATCGAAATTAATGCATTTTTGGCATAGTTATGATATATTTTAATTGTTACTTTGGCTGGCCAAAGTTAGCTTTCTTTCTTGTTTAATCTATTTTTAAATATATTTTTAAAAAGCTAAATTTTTGTAGTTTTAGCGGCTTTTGATTTTATTAAAACATAATATTTTAAATATAAATATTTTAAATATAAATTTTAAATATTAATATAACAACTGATCTTCCTTTGAATAACTTTTTATATACCAGAAAAAACTCCTCTATCTCTATATTATTTTTTTAAATTAAAAAATAAAATCACACACATTATTCGCACCAATTAAATCTACTTTTCTCTCAGTGCCTTTGTTGGCATTCCCATCCAATCCACTTCCACTTCATTCCAATCCATTCAGCCAGCGGTGGCAGTGGTTCCCGGCTCGGTCCCGGTTCCGGACGCGGTTCCCAAAACGTTGCGGTGGCCAAATGACGCGTTGAAATGCGGGCCTACGCCCGCTCCTTAACCCCCTGCTGCCCACTTAACCCACCCTGGGCCCGGACCGCAGCTATGCAAACGTTTCGGGATGCTAATGCGGCCAAAATAAATGATGGCATGAAGGCATCTTTGGCCATTTACTCGGCCGCCTTCATCTTTCATCGGTTGTTGCTGTTATTTTTTTGGGTGTTTTCCCCCTGTTTTTCCCCTTGTTGCTGCTGCCTGGCTTTTACTTTTAATTTTCGGCATCCGCATTTTATCTTCGGAGCCTGTAATTGTCGCACATCCTTTGTCCTTCCCCTTTCCCCCTTGGCGGCTAATTTGGAGCGGAATGGAAAACAATGGGGATGCCAGTTCGCATTTTCTCCATTTTTGTTGCCATTTAAAAATCGAAATTAATTTATTAAGAAAAAGTCTCTAGGCGTCGCAAGTCCTTTCAGCCGTTAAAAAGGAAATAACTGAGGAATTTTCTTTAATAATTCAATAAGTGGTGAGAAATCGAAGAGGGATTTTCTTCAGTTGGGACTTAAATCTTAGGGATTACTGGTTTTATTTAAATATATATTTTTAAATATTTAATTATTTATTAAATATTATAGATCATTTATGGTATTATTTTAATATATATTTTGGATTCCTTTTTATCAGTTGATTTAACTTTGAACAGATGCAACACGCTTGTGTGCACAGATGTTTGAATGTACATTCACACCCATTTATAACAATTAAAATTAAATAAACAAGCTGATTAAAGCCAAATAATGGCTTTTATATTAGATTCGTGGAATAATAAAAAGAGTTTAAAAGCTTAAAAATATTATAACCAAGTGAAAAATAATTAATTTCAATTTTGCTAATAGTATATAAAATCCAGAAATTGCCTTATATATTTTTGGGCAAAAAACTAATTTTTAAAAATTTATAACTACGAGAAAAAAAGCTTTAAATTCAATTCTAATTCCCCGAAGACCGTAACTGGCGAACGAAGATTATATAAAATTTAATATATTTAAAACATCATTTTAAATATATTATATTTTGTTTTATTTAAAATAAGCGCTTACTTTTAGATCCATGCTCCTAAAAATTTAGAAAGTTTTCCTAAATAATGTAGAATATTCATATAAAAATAAAAGAATATAATATATAAATATTAAAAATAAAATTATAATATATATAAATATTTAATAAAAATAAAGAGAAATATTAAAAATGCATAAAAATTACATTACAAGTTACATTTATTTGCTAAAATAAATTCTAATTATTTGAATTTGTTGCCTTGGTTCAATATTAAAATTAATAATTATTAATAATAATTAAAAAAAATCAAAAATATTGATTGAAAATGTCTCTCATCAATTGGCACTGAAGGTCTAGAAATCAAATTCGACGACCAATCAGCTTCCTTCAGAGATTTAATCTTTCCTTTCGTAGTTTTTAGCACACTTATTGCCAAAGAAATGAGACAAAAGCGCGTGGCGAACGGAAATTGAATAATGAAATTTATGTAGAAATATTATTTTAAAGAATTTTTAGGGGGATTCGAACTCGCGTTGCAAAACTCTGTGCCTGACAGACAACTTAACCCACTGAACCACACCCGCCCTCTGTGCGAACTGCTTGTATTCGAGTGTATACACTACCTTATCGACATTAAACGGTTATGGATGCACTGCTTGTACAGTTTTCACAAGAGAACTGCTTTGCCTGCTTGCTATAAATAGTAAATAGCGCCTCCTATATCACGGATTTTGGTTTTGTATAACAATTTTGTATAACAATTTCTGCAAAAAAGAAAGTAAAGAAAAGAAAGTAAATTATTAATGTATAACAATTTCTGTAAAAAAGAAAGTAAAGAAAAGAAAGTACTGTTATATTCATGGCAAAATCCTAACAGGTGGCGTCACGCTCAAGTAAAAATCTGTAAAATCTAAATTCTGTAAAATATAAAATCCTTTAAGGTTTAAAATTTTATAAAAATTACAAAAATAAGCTGAAACATTAAATAAAATATATTAAAAATAAATGTAATAATTAAGGTTTAAAATTCTATACAAATTACAAAAATAAGTTTAAAAAAAAATAAATAAAAAATATTAAATTACAAAAATAAGATTAAAACATTAAATAACAAATATTTAATTACAAAAATAAGCTTAAAACCTTACATAAAATATATTAAAAATATTAAATATATATTTTGAAGTGAGTATATTTATTAAAAATATTACGTTTCAGTTTTTTATACAGCTAAAATAAACTTAGGCGTATATATATCTTTAAAATATTCGATTACAGACAATGCACTGGGCTTAGGGCTAGTAAAAAAAAGGTTGTGGCTTTTTTGGTTTGGTTTTTGGGGTGTTTTCCAACTCAGATTTCCTCGCACTTCTTCAGGGCTCCTACTCCTCCTACTCCTCCTCCTCCTCCGCTGCTGCTGCCTCCACCTCCTCCCCCTGTGAGCTCCATCTTGATGTTGAGGTGGGGATTGGGTAGGGTGTGCGGTATCTGGCTGTTGTTGTTGTTGTTGTGCTCCTCATGGAGCTTGAGCATATCACTGGGCATCACATGGGCCTGGGACTGGGCCTGCATTTGAACCTGCACCTGAGCCTGGGCCTGAGCCTGGGCCTGAGCCTGGGCCTGAGCCTGGGCAAAGCTTCGCACCTGCAAAAAGAGACCGCCGTTGTTCAGAAGGCGAGCCTGATGCTCCTGCGCCTTGGCCCTCAAGCAGGCAATGGAGTTGTTCCTGTGACAAATTATATTTTATATTTTATATTTTTACATTTTATTATTTCTCCAACTAAAAACCCACCTAAAAGCATCCGGATCGTGCTCCATGAGTGCAGCAGCCAGGTGATGTGTCACCTGTTGTTGCTGCTGCTGCGTTTGCTGGTGCTGCTGCTGCTGCTGTTGCTGTTGCTGCTGATGTTGCTGTTGGGCGGCTGCAGCTGCTGCCGCTGCCACTGCCGTGTTCATAATCAAATGAAAATCCTTGCTAGAGGCCGCTGCCCCAGCACCCGCTGCATTGGCCGCATCAAGCAGGGGATGATAGCTGGGCGGGGGCGGGCCTCCTCCTCCATAGAGATGCTGCTGCTGCTGCAGTTGCAGTGACTGCTGCTGCTGCGGCGAGGGGGAGCTTAGCTCAATGTGGGGACTACCCGAGCTGCCCGAATTGGTGGTCACGCCAGTGGGCGTTGTGGTGGCTGTGGGCGGGGCCGAGGTCGAGGCCGAGGCGGAGGCGGAGGTGGTGCAGCTGCTGGGCGCTGGACTCACCACGTTCAGGGATTCGGTGGAGGAGCTCAGGGCACGTGAATGGTTTAGAGATCGCGATAGATCCTCGGAATGGGCAGACTTGGAGCCAGCCGAGTCCTCATGGTCGCTAACACCCGAATCGTCCTTGAGCGCCGACTGGGCCTCAATCGATTTGCGGTGCATGCCTGCGGGGGGGTAGGAAAATGTATAATTTAAGGGGAAATTAGTAAAGTTTTTAAGGAAATTTTTAATATTTTAGGGTAAAGAGTTTGCTTGGGAAAATCCTTGAAATCCTCACAATTATAAACGAAAAATCAGGTCAATTATTAACTGTCCAGGGAAGATTATTCCCCCTTCCTCTCTGGTGTTAATCATATCCCACTGCCCCATCAATTGCCAACTAATTTGACATATCGACTTAATTAAAAACTGCCAGGATTAACTATGGCCAAGTCCTTACCCCTCCCCCCCACAGCTAAGGCTACTTGGGAATTTTAAACCAGCAAGGAATTCCGCCAAGCAGAAGCACCCCCTTCAAGGCCACCGCACAATGGGAATAGATAAGCGATAAATGTCAAATAAAACGGGAATTCATTGGGAACTCGACTGCTCAACACCCCAGTCGTGTGCATTTTGCATTTATTAAGCGATTATTAACAAATAAAAGGAAGCCACCACCACGGCACTTGTTCCGTTAATCCGCAAAGTCATTCCCGGGAAATGTGCGCAACATATGACAGGACAGCCCTGGAAAAGCGTCGTTCGACATGCCCGCCAAATATGCTCACAATTTTCCCTTTCCATCCCCCACTTTTCCTATAGAGAATATATCCCTATATCGTTTTATAATCCCCGAACTGGTGTCCTTTGTGTGGCTCGAAATTTAATTATACGCTCCTTCGAAGTTTGCAGATATTTCACACAGAACGGGAAATGGGATAGGAAGATCCTGGCTAGCCTTTGTTGAGTTTTAAATATATACTCTTTAAAATATAATTAAAATTATAATTTAAAATGGAAGAATTCTAGTATTAAAAGATCTCTCGAGAGCTAGTTCTGAATTTTTGTAAACAATTTTAAATTAGAAGTCAAACCTATTTTGAACCTTGCTTATTTCTCTCTAGAGATTTTTCTATTTAATTTTTTAATATTTAATATTTTAATATATTTTGTTCTACCTCATATCTAGAGTATGGATGGTTATAATGGGTTCATAGTTTCGATAGAGTTTCGATATGATTGTTGCATTTACATTTCTGCTCCATACCTAGTAGCCAGGGTGCCACCGCGTCATTGTCCTTGGCCGACTTGAGGATCGTGTCTGGCAGGGGGAGGGAGTGCCGCACCATGGCCCCATAGAGACCATATTCGGCCATTATGGTGCTGCCGCCCCAGACCTTTTCCGTTTTGCGCCACTTGGCCCGGCGATTCTGAAACCAGACCTGAGAGAGAAAATTATTTAAAATTTATTTAGAGATTTAAATAAATATATTATATATTTAAATAAATATATTATATATTTAAATAAATATATTAATTATATTAATGTCTTTGTTCTCATTGTTTCCCTTCAAAATGCTCTGCCATATGGAAGCTGGCCTCCTTGCTGGCCATTGGCCATCAAGTGGAAGCCCTAACCCGTGGAAAATGCTATGCAAATTGCAAATTATTAAATAAAAAACTCATTCAAATTGAAAAAATGTAAATGAAATGTTTTTTAAATGCTAATACTTCGACCCCATAAACCTTTCAAGTGGTCCAGAGACATGGACATGGGACACACACACTCTCGGGCTCAAAAGGGGAGCAAACAGGGGCTTAGAAAAGGGGTTTTAAGAGGGGTTTTAAAATTGGAATTAATTTAAACAAGGAAGAACCTAGCTTTGGGAAGTTGAAGTTTCGAGTTTGCAATCTAAAAATTATAAATAAATAAATAATTAAAAAAAATTAAATAAATAAATTTTAAAAAATAAATTAAATAAATAAAAAAAATAAATAAAATTTTTTTGAAATTTAAATCTTAAAAAAATCATAACTCCGCCAAAAAGGCCTTAATTTCAATTTGGAAAACTGCTCAAAGTTAGTTTTTAGAAGATTAACAAATCTGCATACTTCATTAAAATTCTTAAAAAATTAATTTATTTTTGAAAAATTTAACGATGTAACCCCTTATAAAATTTTCAAAAAATTGAAAAAAAAAAATTTTCTTGCTGACATGGCTAGATCGATTCGTCTGTCGATGCTGATAAAGAATATATATGATTTATAGGGTCGGAAATGACTCCATCATTGCTTTGCAGGCTTCTGACTGAAATTATAGGGTATAAAAATATAGATTTGAGAAGGAAAATGGGTGAAAAAGAGGTGATAACAACTGGAAATATAAAAATTTAAAAGAAAAAATAAAATTTAAATAAAAAATAATAAACACAGTTATTTTTATTGATAAGAAATTAATTTAAAAATGTTTCTAATATAAGTAAACATTAAATATAATAAACAGAAATAATAAAAATGTTATAAAAATATATATTTAAAACTGAAATTGAGATCTAATGCTCTATAATTGAAATCCTCAGCAATACCTAAAATATTCCCTCATAAGAAAATACCTAAAATAAATAACAAAATAATATAAAATATGACAAATATTTAATATTTATATTTATAAATATATGAATTATAATTAATATAAACCTTAATACAGAGATGTGACGCCCATGGCTGCCTCCTCCGCACACACACACACACACATAATGGCAAATGATATACATATTCGCATATAAGTGACCAAATTAGATTATCTTCCGAGACATTAAACCGATTCTCCGGCGGCAACGAGGATGATAATATGAAAACATTAAATGTTGATCACAAAAGGCAGCAGCCTGCACGGACGACAACAACAACTGTCACAATAAAAGGATTTGCCACACACACACACGCACACGCACGGCCAAAAAGGATTTACCAAGAGCCACCCCCTCGAAACTCGAAATCAGAAGCCTCAACACCCCCTCGTGCACTGAGAAAGAAGTCATCATTTTTCTGGTCCATCAAATCGTTTAGTTCTGCTATTAGTCATGTGCGCACACAAGGGGGACGAACACGGACACGGGTCCTTTGGCCAGGACACCAGCAAAAGCAACTGAAGTGGCTGCTTTCTCCGGCAGCTTTAGAATGCGAATTCTATAATAAAAAAAAAAAAACCGAAATATGCAAAGCGGCTAAAAGTTGAAAAATCAGAGGGTTAAAAGGGGTGGCGACATTTCTCCTTAAATTCCTCTAAGGATATTGAATTTAAAAGGAGTAAGGCCTTAAATCGCAACAAATCGTGGGCAACTGGGCGTGGCAAGGCAAAAATTATACAAAGACAAAGTGAGTTGTCAGCCGTTCGTGGATGCCCCACCAGGAGAGCCAAGTCATAAATCTGGAAATGCTGCTCTCGCATGAGAAATTGGCAGAGGTAGGTATATATATATGTATATATCACTATATATACATATATTATTTAATATATTTTTGGCAAAAGTCAGCAGGCAGGAAGAGCCACTCAGAGGGCTATGCCTCGTTGCAGCCCAGGAAATTTACAACTTGCTGGGAAAATTTTGGGTTTCTTTTTGTTGGCAAAGTGCCGCCAGTCTGGGTACAGTGCGTGTCGGCAATGACATGTATAGATTATATATATTTTTTTTTAAATATAATATTATTAAAAATATAAAAAAATTTTTAATGAAAATCAGCTTATAATAATCCCTAGCTTAAATATTTTCTAAAAATTTAAATATTTTCTATAAATATTGTATACCTTTTGTCCCGCACTGTCTTAGGTGTGACTCAGCGATTGCTCAGGCGTGGAAAACAAAATCCTGGCCAAGATAAGGTCCTGCCGAGCTGAAATTACCCGCCAATGCCAACTGATGTCAAATTAATTTGCATTTGCCGCCAGGATCCTTGGAAGATGTAAGATGTAAGGTCCTGGCAAAGAGCAACCAGGCAAACACAACCTAGACTACAACCTGGGCTACAACCTGCTCTCATCCTGGCTACAAAATCAAATTAATCCGGTTTGTTATTTCATCATGCAACGTCAACGTCACCATCATCAGCTGCAACAACAGACAAAAGGTAGCAACACACCGGCAACGGCAACAGCAACATTTTGCAATAATAAATAGCAGCACCAGCCGTGGCACACACACACACACACACACACAGGGAGATGAGAGAGTTGCCGGGAGCCTCTGCCAAAGGAGCGGAAAATTTCATTAACAAGGCACACAGGCAACAGCAACATTGCAACAACAGTGAGAGAAATTAGGGGTTTAAAGCGAACCTTTGTGGGGAAATTAAAATTAAAAAAATTGTTAAATATTTTTTAAGATTACTTTTAATTACTAATTTAATTTTTTTATGTTTTTGTAATAATAAAAATTAATATAATCAAAGGTTTAGGTATTTTCTTAGCTTTTGATGATTAACATATCAATAAGAATAAATTTTTAAAATTAAGAAGGAGATCTATATGTTGGAAATTAAATTTACAAAATTTTAAAAAATTTTTAAGATAATTTTTAATTATTTATTTAATTTTTTCACATTTTTAAAAATAATATAAAACCAAAATATAATATATTAATAAATTATATAATAATATAAACATTAATTATATGAAAATGTCCCCCACTTTTTCTCCCAGTGCATAGCAGCAACATCAACAGCAACGTCCGCTCAGCCAGCACCGAAAGCTACCTACAGAAAGAGGGGCTTTAGGCTGGGCTCTGATGCTGCCTCTGATAATTTAATCAACTCTCATTGAATTATATCATTTTGCAATTTGGAGACCCCCTCCCTCCCCTTGGCAGAAGCAACATCCACATCCCATCATCCAGAGATTGAATCGTCATTATGATACCAGGAGAACACACAGAAAATTGGTAACCGGAAAAGCGGGACTCTGGGCTTGGGTCTGGGAAATTCGGTAGGGCCTCGCGTCTCGTCCACTTTGAGTGCGGAAATCAAGGTGGGAAATGGCATAAATTGCCAAAACGGAAATTCGCTCCTAACCGAGTTCCGATATGGATCGGAAAATCCACTTTTCCCCCAATTTCCCTGACCTGGGCTATGGTTCCTACAAATATTTCCAATGACTGGGCTTATTTTGGGACGACAAAAGGAAAACAGAAATTGTGGGGTTTTCTGGGGACTTGAGTATATTTTTGGTTAGTTTTTTTTAAGGTTTTCAGGGTTTTATTTTTACTATATTTTATTATTATTTTATATTTTTTATATTTTACTTTTTAAATTTAGGAAGTTCTAGTAAATTCGTTGTTAACTTTCCTTTTTCCCAACAACTTTAATATTCTCTAAAAGTTTTTAAGCTTTTCTTTACCAAATCTAAAACAAAAAAAGTCTTGAATAAATCTAAAGTTAAAATATATAAAATATATCCTTAAATGTGATTTAATTTTCAGCCCAAAATGTGAGTTTAACTTGATCATCCCTCTTTTAGCTGCGGATAATGCCAACTACTTTAATATAGATAACAGCTTGGACAATCTGCCGCTAAATGATTACTTGACCATTCCCATTCCCCCCCATGATTTTCCCATTTCCCCCCCCCACTAGCCCGATTTTCCCATTTCAACTTCGATTCCAATACGCTGCGAATCACGACATCAATTTGCTGATTGAAAATTTATTATTATCCTGGATGCAGGCTGCAGGACAGGATGCCCGGCAAGGGGTGAGTCCAAGGATATTTATGGGCCGAGACCGAAGATGCCAGCAAAGCAGAGGGAGTGGCCAGGCCACGCCCACTTGTCCAGTTGGTGGGAAACGCATTTGATTTATCGAACTATCAACTTGTTGGCCAAACGAAATTGAGCGATGATGAGGTCAAGTCAAGGGATTAGGGGGAAGGGAGGGTACTATTACCTACCAGAAGGTATTATCTATAATTAAATTTTGGGTAAATTAAGCTGTTTTCTTAATAGATTTTAATGTAAAATAAATGTTTTACATTTATTTACTTTTTAGATAATATTTTAAATATATTAAATCCTTTTTTATCTAAAAAAAAATACAAAATACGAAAACAATCTCTTGTAAAGAGTCTGAAAAATTAACAGCTAAAGTTAGTTTATTTTATAAAAATTAAAAAGATATTTTCTTAATAGATTGTAATATTAAATACACTTATTTATATATTTTAAATACCTACAAGAAGGTATTATCTATAAATACTATTTTCTTAATAGCTTTTAATTTTAAAATATTAATAATTAATTTCAGATATTTTTTAGATTATATTTTCAATATTTAAAATCTTTTTTTAACTACAATAATGCTAAATATAACAAAAGTCCCTTTTAACTTTAATAAAAGTATTTAAAAATTTAATTATTATTTATTTAATTTATAAAAGAAGTACAAAACAGAA